TTGGTTACATTCAAATGTGTTTTTCTTTGGGTTCAAATTTAACATCTTATGTACTACTTTATCTAAACAAATAATGGACTTTTTAGACTAAATTTACTACAATCTCACAAACTACATATTGGTAATATAAACATGAGAGTACATAGTGTTTTTAACCGACTTCTAAAGGAGGAGGTTATCAATTCGGATGTTTATATGTTTTTTTAATGTATGTTCGAGCATAACCACGTCATTTATAGACGGATTTGCTAAATTCTTTAAGGGGCTTATTCCGAAATGGTCTCATTTAAATTTCATATAGATCTGATGATGAGTTTCGGAGACAGACAACGGAACTCTTTAAAAAAATGACAGCAAATCAACCGAGATTGCTGCTAGGTTTTTAGTGCTCTTTGTTAGTATCGTTAGAAGTCGGTTCAACTTAAAAAAAGAAGGATTTATCTTGTAAATCTATACTAATATTATAAAGCTGAAGAGTTTGTTTGTTTGTTTGAACGCGCTAATCTCAGGAACTACTGGTCCGATTTGAAAAATTCTTTCAGTGTTAGATAGCCCATTTATCGAGGAAGGTTATAGGCTATATATCATCACGCTAAGGCCAATAGGAGCGGAGCACCAATGAAGAATGTTTTAAAAAACGGAGAAAATTTATTACTATTTTGAGACGCAGACGAAGTTGCGCGGGTCAGCTAGTGTTTAAATAAATTCTTTTGAAAAATGTTGAACCAACTTCAAGGAGTACTAAAAATGAAGAAATATTTCAAATCTAATAAAAAAGAAACAGGTCCGACCCTCAATATAACACGTAACATAATAACAGCAATAGACACCTTCTAGTCTGTTTGAAGCCTAGAACCAATGGAGAAAGTGATTCAGGAAAAGGGTTTGTTTGTATAATACACTAGCTGACCCGCGCAACTTCGTCTGCGTCTCTCAATAGTAATAAATTTTCTCCGTTTTTAAAACATTCTTCATTGGTGCTCCGCTCCTATTGGTCTTAGCGTGATGATATATAGCCTATAGCCTGCCTCGATAAATGGCCTATCTAACACTGAAAGAATTTTTCAAATCGGACCAGTAGTTCCTGAGATTAGCGCTTTCAAACAAACAAACAAACTCTTCAGCTTTATAATATTAGTATAGATGTAGTACATACGAGTAGTATAGTAGATGCAAACCGAGAATTTCAAATTTTTTTAATGTGAAGTAAGAAACATGTTTTTGAGCGCTTACATTGCGAACGCTGGCTTTACGGTATAGATCAAAATAATGTACCACGGAATTGTATATATCTTAAAAAGATGTATTAAAATGTCCGCGATGGTATATGTCTATCTCGTAAGTATAACCCACAGTAACCATTTTTATAACAGGCAATATCATTATAGTGAATATATTAGTAGATATCAGAGATTTAAAATGCGGGGCAAAGTGGCCGTCGCCGCGGGTGGCTGGCAAGAGCGGAACGTGTCCTGTGGTATAGTGTTATCATATTAATAGTATAATTAATTACTCCACTTTTTATTTTTATATTATTGTTATTTTTTATTATTATTATTATTTTAGAATTTAATATTACTTACTTGATGTCTAAAAGCTCACTTCTAAGTTTTTTTTAACAGATTTATGTAAAAATACACTTTTTTTATTAAATTTCTATTTATTTAATCGTCAATTATTGACGCAACGGCACACGACTACAGGGCGAAGAGAAAGATCACTAATTAATAGCCATTTGTTGGGTTATTTATTGCTTATTAGCTTTATAAATAGTTGTTTATCCATATCGTTGTGTAAATATGCAAATATGACATATTAATTTCACATAAATTATTTATCTAAACAAAACAACCGATATCTGCCGGAACTTTGATAAACAAAACAAGCTTCTGACTATTTTAGAGATCCTAACCATCGTCTTTACATCATCAATTTACAGACGAGAGAACATTATATTGTCCGTGTAGTGACGGATTAAGAACACGGAATGTCACTACCCCAATTCATCCCGTGAGTGTATAACAACGCAGGACACCAGCACTGCAAAAAGAAGGAAAACTTGACACAAACCCTATACCAACCCGTCTGGCCAGCGCGGTGTAGTAGGCCAAAACCTCCTTTCTAAGGAGAGGCCTATGTCCAGCAGTGGACTATTAAAGGCTGTTGATGTGATGTGAGTGGGTAGGACCAAATCGGGAGTAGTTTAAAGAAGAGCCTTGTTAATAGGAGCTGTAGCCGGCTCCACACATTTTTGGAAATTAAAAAAAAAAAATATTTAAATACTATATTTCGGTAAATATTGTTTAAAGACGCTCTCCCAAAGTTCAATTTCTTCCTTATCAGGTGCGGAGTCCATCATCAACGTGTTGCCAAGATCCAGGTACTCTTGGTTCTCCAAGGTGTAAGGCTTCCATTCCACTCCGAGGTTTTCATCAAAAGTTGGAGTAGGATTCCTGGAAACCAGTAATTTTTAATTATTATTTATATATAGTGCATAGGTATCCTAACCACGCATATTATAAATGTTAAAGCAACTCCGTATGTCGGTTTGTCTGTATGTTAAGCTGTCGCAAGTAACCGGCCGATCCTGATATATTGTAATGATTAACAAAAACTCGGAGAATAACCAAGGTTACATTTTGCCTAAAAACTTAACGTCGAAAAAGGCAAAATAAGGGATCAAAGTTTGCCGGAGTCTCTACACATTGGAGTCCTACGATTTAATTTGTAGAATAAACCCGAGGTAGAACACACAAGTATTTCTTTATGAAGGAAAACCCTGGCGTTTTTGTTGGTTCCAGTAAAATATTCTACTTAACTTAATAGTCAAGTGTGTTCAAGAGCATCAAACTCATTCAAGAAATAAAAAGCAAAAGTGCTTTAAGTTGTATAAGCTACGGTTTTTAATTATTCCTTAATTAGCAGACAAACAGGGCCTCAATTCTGCTATTTTATGTTTACGCCATCCAGTGTCATACCACTGACACGCTATTGAGATGCCATCGAGTGGCATTGGCATCGGTATAAATATCGGTAGTTGAAAATATATTACGTTTTTTGAGGAAATGATTTCTTTGTTTTTGACGTGACAACGTCTTATAATTCGAAATTTCGGCTTGGCGTAATAGCAGAATCGAGGCCCAGATGGCTTCGCATGTACTGTCTACATAAATCTAGTATCACAGATGTAATACGAGTACGTGCCAAAAATACTGCCGTCGATTGGGCAGTTCAGAGATTACGTAAGGGAATTGGAAGTTTGGAAGTTATTGAAATAAAAGACGTAGATAAGAAGGGAATTCAATGGTAGGAAATGGATTAGGATTAGTTGATGTTCGACTATCAGTAATTCTGATAGGATATTGTCGAAAAGTCCGAGTTGAAGTAATAACGAGTTGATAATATTAAATGTGACTCTTTAAATTGTTACCCTTAAGTTTTGATTAATATATTAAATCAACTCACCCGTATTTTGCAAAGTTTGTCCACAGCGTGCAAGTTCTATTGATCGCTTTAAATGTCTCAGATGACATGTCAACTTTTCCTAGATATTTCTTGAGAGGAAACAGATATGTCAAATCGTCCCCGTGGCTAACAAGATTCTCAACTTCGTAAGGCTCTGGAGGGTCGTAAAGAGCGAAAACATTTCTCTCCGTAACGCAATTGAACTTATAAAAATATACTTTGTTCGTCAACGAATAAAATTTGGCTGCGAGAATAATTACATAGTGGAAAATATCTGTGCCTATAAACTTCAATAACTTGTCCAATAAGATTTCACCGTCTTTAATGTAAAATTGTCGCAGTTTTCTTCCAACTTCCATTTGGTCAGCTGCAACGCAATATCTTTTAATTAGTCCAGGAATGAAGAATTCTGTAAAATATTTCGCATCATTGATGATATTGTCTCCAGTGTAACGCAATCCCATCGCTGTTGTGCCTTCGTCTTTTGTATATCCCATCATTATTTCAACTCCTTCATGAACGTTGTTTTTCAATGCATCCAGTATATCACCGTAAAAGAATCTCTCTTGTCCAAAGTCTTTCTCATCAACTACTGTGTAAGGAATTTCATAAGGTTTTTGGGCTCCCCATACCTTCAAACGTACGTTTACTAATGAATCTACAGGTTGCTTCATGAAGAATTCGTACAGAGTTATATCATCCTCTGAGAAACAACCTAATTGTTTGGCAAGTAAAAGAGCTTTCTCACGTGCTTCGAATTCCATCATTAAATAGATTATAGCGGCTCCACTCTGGAGAATGACTCTACGAAAGAGACCTTTAGTCATTGGTGATACTAGAAGGTAGGAAACGGAGCAAGCTCCAGCACTTTCACCAAATATGGTGATGTTATCTGGATCTCCGCCGAAATTTTGGATGTTTTTCTTTACCCACCTGATGGCTGCCACCATATCTTTCATTCCTGCATTACCAGGTATTTCTGGAGTATGGAGGCAGAGGAAACCAGGACCTTGAAGTCTATAATTTATCGTGACGAGGATAACACCATCTCTGACGAGAAACTCTGGACCAAAAAAATCATCATCACCACTCCCTGCTAGATATCCGCCCCCGTGTATGTAGAACATGACTGGGAGTAGACTACTTGGTTTTATTTGTGGTGTGTAAACGTTCAGATATAGACAGTCTTCGCCCATATTTGGTGGTTGATGGTTAGGATCCCATAAGTTAAACTGGTAGGATATTGGGCCGAATTCGGTGGCATCCCTGACACCGGTCCACGGTTGTAGTGGTTGCGGTGCCTGTGAACAAAAGCTTTTTTTCATAACTCTGGAAAATACATATTAAAGGTCGAAGAATATAGCATAAGATGATAAAAGAGAAGTGCAAAATACTACATTAATAGCTACATTTCTACTATATACTGGTATTTCTCAAGTCTATGAATTTCTATATGAATGTATGTTCATAAAATGTTTTTTCTCGTCATATAGGTACTTTTATACTGTATGCTTAACTTCTTCTTCCTTGCAAATTAAAACTAAACGACAACGCATGACCACGCATACATACACACACACACACACACACACACACACACACACACACATACTTTTCAACTACTGACAGTCACAGCAGCGGTCAGAAGGTATGACCTCTCAGTATGCTCATTAATACTTCATTTACTTCTTTGTTACGTCGGAAACTTTTTAGACCACCCTCGTATATACTTATAAAAATGTTTTTTTGTCGCCCAATGCTTTCATGCGTATGCTTCACTTCTTCTATGCAAATTAAAACTAAACAACACACGCATGACCACGCATACACACACACACACACACACACACAGCAGTCAGAAGTTATTCCCATTCAGTATGCTCATTATTACTTCCCTTATTATATTAATCATCAGATTTAGTGAATTGTTACCTTAAACCTAAGATCTCCAACCGGCGGTTGAGCATACGGGACACCTTTGAAGCTGTAGAAAGTCCCTCCGTACTCATTCTGAACCTCTTCACCCTCCAATATGCCCTCAGTTACGTGAACTTGTACCATGATTTACTCCTGAACTGTAAAATTAAACCATTCGGCAATTGTTTTATTTGAAGAAATGTAAAGATGATTTTAGAACGGATTTGAGTCATTTCCAAAGGGAAGTATTGTTCTAAATCTGGATAGTTTGTTTTCAAGTTAAATCGAAAGTTACAAATATTTGCCGGCAAGTTCAGTAGGAGGTTAGAAGGCAATTCGAAGTCTCGGAATAAAAGTTCGTTCAAACTTCAGTGCCGATCTACTCTCGCTGGGTACACTACACAAATACCAAAAACTATATTCCGTCAGTTACAAATACGAATCTCAAAATACCGATTTACATAATTCCGAATGGTTCAAAATTCCTAATATAACAACTCCGATTTAGCCTATTTTTATAATACAAAAATTTCAGTATTCCTAACGTTTATAATTACTATGCTTAAAATACCGAGTTTCAATAGGTCGAATAACAAAAGGTTCGACCTATTGACAATTCGAAACATCAAAATTCGAATTTTTGTTTTCGACAAATATTACAATAGAGGGTATCTGGTGGTCACAGGTATTTTTTATTTTTTTTATTATAATTATTTTCAGAGATATTAATTGTTGATTTGTGATCAGTGATGTACTTGTTGAGATCTTCAATGGACTGAATGCGAATGTTTTTACTATTTTTTGATATAAATAGATCCATTTACTATACCACGCTGGCCAGACTGGTTGGTATAGGGTTTGTTTCAAGTTTTCCTTCTCTCTGCAGTTCTGTTGTCCTGCGTAGTTTGCTTTCTTAGTCGTCTCTTACGACACCCACGGGATGAATAGGGGTGGTGACACTCCGTATTCTTAATCCGTCACCACACGGACAGATTTAGATACTAGATCAACATACAGATTGGAATTGGGTTACTGACAATTTCAAGTTATTTATTTCTCTGCTTTTATCATCTACTAGCTGACCCGGCGAACTCTGTTCCGCCTTAAAGGCAATAAATAAGCCGATTTTCGAATTTAGTAAGTTAATTTATTTCTTAGAAAAATTTATTATACATATTTATTTATTATTGTTTCTGCATTTCAGTACATAGGTTGCTCTTCACTTAAGTACCTTGTGATACACGACATTTTTTGTTTTCTTATCAGGCGCAAAAACAAATAACGCAGATGGTCTTCCGACCAATACTCAACGTTGCAATGTGTCTTGAACGTTTTAGAAATAAGTAGCGAATATGGAACAATCCAACTGTTGTCGACAACGAAATCCATTCTTTTCACTTTTGTTGTGACAGTTCCACCGTTGTCATCTGGTGATCGACGCCGATACAAAAAAAAACAAAATACGGAATAAATAGTATCCTATGTCCGTCTCCTGGCTCTAAGCTACCTCCTCACCAATTTTCAGCCATATCGGTAAGGCCGTTCTTGAGTTAATAAATAGTGTAACTAACACGACTTTCTTTTATATATATAGATTATGTTCTGGAAATCTATAAATTGGCTAGCGAGTTGATCTTTTAAATCTTCAACGTCTTGTCTCAATAGTCATTATTGCCCTGTTACAATTCCTTCACCTCTGCATTAATTCCGAGACCGGAGTATCAAAGATCGCAGTGGATCTGCCTCATGAGCCCCGAACTGAGTTGACATTATCAGAGGGCGAATGATCATCAGCGATTGCTGCGGGGTTGCGTACAGGAGTGTTGGTATTACCTTCTTTTGGTGAAGAGCAAAGACACACAGGGCATGTCCAGGTTTGCTTGTATTTCGCATTGAGTCTTTGAAAAGACTCCGCCGTTACATTATAGTCATAAGAACCTTGAAATTTCGTATAATTAATAGATTCATATAATTAATAGACAGCACCTAAACTGGACACTAGACGATTGGTCTAGGGTAATGTTCACGGACGAGTCTAAATTCATGCTTTATAAGCATAGTGGTAGGCAGTTGGTGTACAGAAGACCAGGGGAGCGCTTCCATCAAGCGTGTGTGGAGGAAAAAGTGGCGTACGGTGAAGGCTCCGTACAAGTTTGGGCTGGGATTTCTACTGAGGCCCGCATCGAGCTGGTACTCATCCAAAATGCAACTCTAAATGCAGAGAGGTACTTGAAAGAGATCCTCAATGAACATGTAGGTCCTTTCATGGCCAGGATGGACCAGCATGGCCTATTAATGCATGATAATGCGCGTCCCCATACCGCCAGAATTGTACATGACTACCTTGAAGAGGTCGGTATCGAACTCATGCAGTGGCCAGCGCGAAGCCCGGACTTAAACCCCATCGAGCACGCCTGGGACGAGCTTCAAAGATGCGTGAAAGGTCGAAACCCCCCACCAATCACGCTTCCCGAGCTCAAACAAGCACTGATGGAGGAATGGGAAGGTATTCCTCAGCACCGGCTCCGAAATTTGGTGTACAGCATGCCTAATCGCCTGGAAGCTGTCAGAAGAGGTCGTGGAGGCAATACAAAGTATTAAATGAAGAAAGTGATGAAAAACAGCAAAAAACAATTAAAAAAAATGTAATCTTAAGAAAAATATGACTACTTTAGTTTTTTTTTATTTAGAGATAAGTTAAGAGTTGGAGAGTTTAGATTTAAGTTTTATTTTATTTTTTATCTGTATACTAAAATTCTCAATTGAACAGTCTTCGTTTCATTAGGATGGCATACGTAGTTCGGGAGATACTCGGGTTTATGTGACTGACCCGTTATTTTTGGAACCGAGTTTAGGTTTTTTGTTAATTTATGCGGATCGAACTGACACAGTGCTGTTTTAGAAGTACCGAACGACGATTCCACATGATCGAAGTTCTAAGCATACAGTGAGTTTTATTACTGTTCCAAATCCAAACAAACAAACAAACTCAATTGGAGATTTTGGGAAATTGGGAATCTTTTGACATTAAAATTGGAAGGATTATACTAAAATATTAAATATTGTGCCCAAATAAAATGATTGCTGGGTTAAGTTATTCTGAATGCGTGATATTGGTGAAAGTAAAGTTATTTTATTATTAAACGACTTCAAAAATGAGGAGGTTACCAATTCGGATGATTAATTTTTTTAAATGTTTGTTCGGACATAACTCCGTCATATAAAGACGGATATTCACAATTCTTTTTTTGTTCGAAAGGAGTTATTCCATACCACGCTGGCCAGATGGGTTAGCATAAGGTTTGTTTAAAATTTTCCATCTCTTTGCATTGCTGTTGTCCTGCATAGTTTGCTCCCATAGTATGCTCTTACGACATCATTTGGATAAATAGGGGTGGCGACACTCCGTATTCGTATTATAGTATTGTCTTCACCACCCGTATACACGTTTTTGCATTAAAACTAGTACATTTTTAACACAAAGAACTATACAAAAAAGTCTAAACTTTAACTTACATAATTGCCGTCGGATTAAAGAAGAATCACGTAAAACTATTAACAGTACTATTGAGGAATGCGTGCATACTCATTGGTTTCTGAATAATGAAAAAGTTTTTGATCGCAGTATAATGTACCTAATCAAGCGATAAAAACTTCAATATCATATCAGTGATAAAACAATCACACCACAATTCAGTAATTAAATCAAAAAAAGTTATGTAATACTAGGTTTGCGCTTCACGCTTCGCTGTGGATCATTGTGATTGCATTATTGAAAAATTGGGAATAAAACTGTCGCGAAAAATCTATAGGAACAATCTTAAAAGCGGGTTGTATAAAGTCTCCAAAATTGAGCTCAATCGGCTCTGTATTTTTTGAGTTTTTGAAGCGTACACAAACCACCGTAACATATTCATATGACCTTGTACGAATTTGTAATCAATTTTGGGTTTTTTTTAATAAAATTATCAAACCTGCGGACGGTTTGTGATACTACCCATGGCCACCTACCACTTCAGAATCAAGTACCTACGGTCTCGGCCTTTGAGGTCGTATCCATCCGAAAATACCGCAGGCGACGATCTGTTCCACAGTTAGGTTGTACGAGGGGAAAAAAGTTTCAAGAAAACGGTGGGGCGTGGATTATAAAAAAGACCTTCATAAAAAACCCTTTTAAAAAAAACTAAAATAAGCATGATCCTCAATATAACTGGTAACATTATAATAGCAATAGATACCTTGTAGTCTGTTCAAAGTTGGTGCCAAGCAAAATAGGTACAAGGTGGCGCAGGGGTCTTCATACTGCGCAAAATATGCTAAACGAGCCAAAGTGGGTTACGCAGATCTCAAATTATATTATTATTTATTTGTACTGGCCTGTTGGTCTAGTGGTTAGTGACCCTGACTGCTACGCCAGAGGTCATGGGTTCGATTCCCATCCAAGACAAATATTGTGTGATGAGCATGATCATTCGTTCTGTGTCTGGGTGTACTTTATCTAAAATAGGTATCCATTTAAAAGTTAAGTATGTTTATCAGCGGTCTGGTTACCGTAGTACAGGCTCTGCCTAGTTTGGAATCAGACGGCCGTGTGTGAGATGTGTGAGATATATTATTATTAACATTTATTACTTTATTAAATTGTTTACTATTTGTTTCTATTTCATATTACTAATTGTATCTATTGCCTTATAATGTTAGCTGTTGTATTGAGTTTGGGTGGATTTGTAATTATTTTTAAACTTTTCGTGCTTTTGTTTAATATTTTTTGAAGTCGGTTCAACTTTTTTAAAAGAATTAGTTTACTAGTTTAATACGTTATTAATGAAATCTTTAAAAATGATGGCTATGCGTCTGCAGCCAGCGTAAGTCCAAACACAGTACAGGCTCTGCCAAGTTTGGGATCCAACTGCCGTATGTGAGATGTATCAAGTTAAGTTAGTTAAACAGTTAACATACATGTTCTGATGGAATATCAGGTGTTCAGCCCACGTGTAGAAGCATATTTCTCATACGGGTTGCTTTTTAGAAATAAATACAAAATAATAATATTTAAATACTATATTTCGGTAAATATTGTTTAAAGACGCTCTCCCAAAGCTCAATTTCTTCCTTATCAGGTGCGGAGTCCATCTTCAACGTGTTTCCAAGATCCAGGTACTCTTGCTTCTCCAAGGTGTAAGGCTTCCATTCCACTCCGAGGTTTTCATCAAGAGTTGGAGTAGGATTCCTAGGGACAGCCAGTTTTTTAATTAGTATTTGTTCAAGGAATATGTATCCTATCTACGCATACCGATGTTATGAATACTAAATCTACTCTTGTTTGTTGTTTGTTGTTTGTTTGTATGTTATTCTGTCACACCTAAATGGCAGTTACCAGGCAACTGCCATTTAGGTGTTTTAAGTAAGTGTAGCACGAGTTTTAACGTAAAACTCTCTTAACTTTACCATTGTGGTTCGACATCGCACGCATATGCGAGCTCGAATGCATTATGCGAGCTCGTATTCTTTGGCCACCATCATTGCACCGGATTATTGTAAACATTTCTTCATTTGTTCTCATGTAAGACTACCTTAATCTATATCCATTTATAAAAATATTAGGTTGGTTTTTATAGGCTTCAAAAATTTTTCACCAATTGAGCTCAAATTTGGACACGATGTACAACACGTTTCAAAGATTGCTTTTATCTCTTTTGTGCAGCCACAATTTGCCACAGCAAGGTACAATTACACAGAGAAATTGAGATCTTTATCCCGAATTGGTAGGTATCGAAATGAAAGGTAGATAAGAAGGTATTCGATGGTAGGAAATGGATATTAAACGAATGGATTAGGGGGTGCAAGCAAGAGCTTGAATAGTTCAGTTTCGAGTACCTGTAATTCGGACAGGATATTGCCGACAACTTTGAACTTGAAGTAATTACGAGTTCAAAATATTAAATCTGACACTTTAAATTGAATACTACTCTTAAGTTTTGATTAATATATCAAATCAACTCACCCGTATTTTGCAAAGTTTGTCCACAGCGTGCAAGTTCTATTGATCGCTTTAAATGTCTCAGATGACATGTCAACTTTTCCTAGATATTTCTTGAGAGGAAACAGATATGCCAAATCATCCCCGTGGCTCACAAGATTCTCAACTTCGTAAGGCTCTGGAGGGTCAACAAGAGCGAAAATATTTCTCTCCGTAACGCAGTTGAACTTATAAAAATACACTTTGTTCGTCAACGAATGAAGTTTGGCTGCGAGAATAATTATATAGTGAATAATATCTGTACCAATAAACTTAAACAACTGGTCCAATAAGATTTCACCGTCTTTAATGTAAAATTGTCGCAGTTTTCTTCCAACTTCCATTTGGTCAGCTACTACGCAATTTCTTAGAATTAGTCCAGGAATGAAGAATTCTGTAAAATATTTCGCATCATTGATCATACGGTCTTGGGAATAACGCAATACCAATGCTGTCATGCCTTCGTCTTTTGTATATCCCATCATTATTTCAACTCCTTCATGAACGTTGTTTTTCAATGCATCAAGTATATCACCGTAAAAAAATCTTTCTTGTCCAAAATCTTTTTCATCAACTGCTGCAAAAGGCATTTCATAAGGTTTTTGGCCTCCCCATACCTTCAAATGTACGTTTACTAATGACTCAACAGGTTGCTTCATGAAGAATTCGTACAGAGTTTCATCATCCTCGGAGAAACAACCTAATTGTTTGGCAAGTAATAGAGCTTTTTCACGTGCTTCGAATTCCAACATTAAATAGTTTATAGCGGCACCACTCTGGAGAATGACTTTACGAAAGAGACCTTTAGTCATTGGTGATACTAGAAGGTAGGAAACGGAGCAAGCTCCACCACTTTCACCAAATATGGTGATGTTATCAGGGTCTCCGCCGAAACTTTGGATGTTCTTCTTTACCCACCTGATGGCTGCCACCATATCTTTCATTCCTGCATTACCAGGTATTTCTGGAGTATGGAGGCAGAGGAAACCAGGACCTTGAAGTCTATAATTTATCGTGACGAGGATAACACCATCTCTGACGAGAAACTCTGGACCGAAATAATCATCATCGCCACTCCCTGCTAGATATCCGCCCCCGTGTATGTAGAACATGACTGGGAGTAGACTACTTGGTTTTATTTGTGGTGTGTAAACGTTCAGGTATAGACAGTCTTCGTCCCATATTTAGCGGTTGATGGTCAGAATCCCATAGGTCATACTGGTAGGATACTGGGCCGAACTTGGTGGCATCTCTGACACCGGTCCACGGCTGTAGTGGTTGCGGTGCCTGCGAATAAAAGTTTTGTTTTGAAGTCGGAGCATAAGGTGATAAAAATCCTTTTAAAAAAATGTTGAACCGACTTCAAACAATACTAACAAAGGGCACTAAAAAAAAAAAATAACAGTGGCACGCCGGAAGTACCGACAGAAGTGAAAACTTGAATTATAACAGGATCTTTTTTGTTTTTTTCGATTGGAAAAGTTCCGAAACGAATATAAGGGACACCGTAACGAATACTGAAATAGTGTATTCAGAACATCATTCTGAGTATAAATTCATTGGAATATATCCATGTTTTACGTATATACACAATCCATGTTTATATTATACGGGTAAATACAACTCTCGTGTACAGGGCCAATATATGTAGATACTTATATACAGAGGTGTCGGCAACAGTATCAGTGTCGCGAGTTCAATGGTTTTACCCATCTCAACAAAACAATTGTTTTGTTTGTTGTTCAAAAATGCCCAACTCGCCTAAAGAAGTTTGCACTTCAATAATTACAAATCTAAGTAAAAAAACTAAAACAAGTGCGACAGTCAATATAACAAGTAACATTGTAATAGATACCTTCAAGTCTGTTTAAAGTCGGTGCTAAACCAAATATGTATTTAATAGGCTTTAATATATATATATTATATAGCTATTATAATGTTACCTGCACTATTGATGGTCGCACTTATTTTAGTTTTCACTTAGATTTGTAATTATTTTAAAATTTTTAGTGCTCTTTGTCGGTATTGTTTGAAGTCGGTTCAACTTTTTTTTTTAAGAATTTATACCAATATCTGACAAAAAAATATTTTTACAACTATTGAGATCTAGCTCCCCGTATCTCCCTTACGATAAAATGATTTTTCTTTTTGAACTTTTGGAAACTTATTTTCTACTTTTTAGTTCGGCTAGTTACAAAAGTGTGTTTTTTAAGTTTTTTAGTAGAAGATATGTGTGTAACGAGTTGTTTTAAGTACGATATTTAAAACAATACGTACTCTAATGTACATTACCAAACTGTAGTACGTTAGATTATATTAAATTTAGTTTAATAAGTTCGTTACTTTATTTAGATAAGGTAAGATAAAAAAAAATGTTTATTTCCACCACAAACGACACAATGTACAGTGAATTATAGATATTAGTGCAAAAATAAAAGTTGTAGTTTGAGGTGGACTGGAGCCCAAACTAGGTCAATACCTGTATTTCAGGACTCTAGGATTCACACCCGCGCGGTTAAGTTAGTGGATGTATTGTGGTGCGTTTGTGTGTGTGTGTGTGTGTGTGTGTAAGTAAAGTTTTGTGCTTGTAGCGTGAAGTTTGCGTCACTTAACAATTGTGATAAGTGATTCTGTGTCTGTATATGATAGTTTAATTCAATAATTGTGGATAGCAGATTTACACTTATATACCTAAGTAAGATGTTACATTTAAACCTGAAAATATATTGATTTCCATATTACTTACTTATTCAACATTAGGAGTGGCAATTTTTTTTACATTTGAATGGAACCAAAGGCGAAATATAAATTAAAAAATGAAATTCCAAAAAAAATATACCGAATCGGTTCACAAATGAAAAAGTTTTGTGGTAAAAAAAACATGAAAATAATATCATAACAAACAATTTCTTTTGTCCAAATGCAAATACTCTATTGTGCACATATCTCAGTCACCCAACACAAACACCTAACAATTGTCTTGAAAGAAGAAAACAAGGTCAATTCATGATTAGATTTCGTCGTCGTTGTCGTCTAATACTTTCATGCGTATGCTTCACTTCGTCTTTGTAAATTAAAACTAAACAACACACGCATGACCACGCATACAAACACACACAAACACACACACACACACACACACACACACACAGCAGTCAGAAGTTCCCATTCAGTATGGTCATTATTTCTTCCCTTATAATATTAATCTTCAGATTTTGTGAATTGTTACCTTAAACCTAAGATCTCCGACCGGCGGTTGAGCATACGGGACACCTTTGAAGCTGTAGAAAGTCCCTCCGTACTCATTCTGGACCTCCTCCCCCTCCAATATACCCTCATTTACTTGAACTTGCACCATGATTTATTCCTTAACTGTAACATTGGGCAATGGTTTTATTTGAAGAAATGAAAAGAGGATTTCTGAACGGATTTGAGTAGTTTCAGAAGGTAGAAGAAGTATTGTTCGAAATCTGGATATTTTGATTTCAACTGAAATCTAAAGTTACAAGTCGAAAGTGCAGTGGGAGGTCAAGTCTCGTAACAAAAATTCTTTCAAAATTTAGTCCCGGTTTTCGGTAGGCATTTAACAGGATGGATGATAAAATACTGTTAGAGAAATTGATTTTTAATGGTGCACGCGGTTATTTTTGTGCTTTTGATCTTATGACAACGTCCTAGTCCTTTTAAAAAACTCTTGCTAGAAAATCTTGATTTTTATTTAAATTACCTAACGTTGAATATTAGACTGCGATTAATATCCATAATGTTACTAACAAACACAATAATACAATTTAAAAAAAAAAGTGATTTGCCAATGAACTACAGCTGCAAAACAGTTGGTATTCTCGAAACAACTATTCTAGAAAAGCTGCAATTTTTTTATTAATAAACCCTTTTAAAAAAAAAGTTGAACCGACTTCAAACAACACCGACAAAGAGCACTAAAAATTAAAAAATAATTACAAATCTAAGTAAAACACTATAATAAGTACCCTCAATGTAACAGGTAACATTATAATACCAATAGTCCCTTCTAGTCTGTTTGAAGTCGGTGCCAAGCCAAATAGGTGCTTGATAGGCATGGTAGAATGTAGCGCGGCAGCTGCAACAGTCTTCATGCTGCGCAAAACATGTTGAACGAGCTAAAGTGGACGCACATCTCCAATTATATTATTATTTTGAATGCTTTAATAAGTAGTTGATAAGTTTGCGCACGTAATTGATCTGGTTGGTCTTTATTAATTAACAAAATCTTCGATGTTTCATTAGAATTATTTTGAATTCTTAATTTTTCATTGTGCTAATATAAAGCTGACATAGACCAGTATTACTTATTGTGCATCGAGCTTGGCACCGACTTCAAACAGACTAGAAGGGACTATTGGTATTATAATGTTACTTGTTACATTGAGGGTACTTATTATAGTGTTTTACTTAGATTTGTAATTATTTTTTAATTTTTAGTGCTCTTTGTCGGTGTTGTTTGAAGTCGGTTCAACTTTTTTTTTAAAAGGGTTTATTTTACCATTTTTAGTGTAGGATATGAAAATGACATTGGCGTCCAAACTGATCAAGATCAGCTTAAATTATTTTCTAAGAAACAGTAAAATTCTTGTGAGTTGCAACCGAACAAAATAACTTCCGATTCAATTGACACTGATCTCGAAGGTGAAGATAGGGAAGCTTTAGTGAGACTACTCAACAAATATGCTCAATATTTTATAGAAGGAGTTCCAACTAGAAGGGTTAATACTGGTATGTTAGAAATTAACCTCGTTGACCCACACAAAATTTAAGAGTTTTTTCCAGAACTATTTTAATAAATTAAGTATAAAATTACTTACAAACGAAATGCGATGCCATCCATAGCAACAAAACGTCTATCCGAATTATTTTAACAAGATAGAATACAAAATTTCAACCTTTTCTTCTTAATACAACTAAAATTACTGTGGTGACATAAATACTGCAAGTTTGTTTGACTAAAGAAATACTCGTAGTTAAAACACGTTGTCGGGGCTGTCAAATTCCCAATAATTGTGAGGGTTTCCCTCGATTTCTCTAGGACCCCATCATCAGATCCTGAATTGGTGATAATGGGACCAATTCTTGAGCATACCCTTTCGATTACAAAAAGAATTTTGAAAATCGGTCCGCAATTGACGGAGAAATCGCGTAACAAAAATACATAAAAAAAATCTTTCCTCTTTTGTGTTTTGGAAGTCGGTTTAAAAAGAAAACATACTGTCGAATCAAAAACCCTCCTTTTTTGATGTTGGTTAAAAATCGACTAGCATGAAGCTCCTAGTCGAGACGAATCAAATGAGCACAAACACGGCGGAATTGCTTTATTTTATTACAGAGTTCCCATGGCTATTTACCGTCTCCATCATCAGACTCTGAATATCACATAGGATCGGAGTCCTTATTAATTAGACTCAAACACATTCAAATTCGATGGTATTAAATAATTTTGTTACAGAGATCCCATACTCCTAAACCATTCATCATCAGCTTCATCATCAGCTCAGCAACATCAGATGGTGACCATTAGATGCAAAAATCTACATAGATTAAGATAATTTCTGATAAACAGTGTATATGCCTACAAAATTTGAGGGTTTCCCTCGATTTCCCCAGGATCCCATCATCAGATCCTGACCTGGTGACAATGGGACCACCTCTGACGTATGACCTACCAAATAAAAAAAGAATTATTCAAATCGGTTTATAATTGCCGGAGTAATCGCGTAACAAATATACAAAAAAAAAAAAAAATACAGTCGAATTGAGAACCTCCTCCTTTTTTTGAAGTCGGTTAAAAAAATGAATAACTCAAAAAATATTGATTGTAAAGAAACAAGACGTGTCTCATTTTTTTTATATTACGGGGGCAGACGAGCAGACGAATCTCCTTTCTAAATAAATTCTAATAAATAATTTGAATTTGAATTTCTCCTCATCATATTCTCTAAGAATCAAACGCATCAGGTCTCTATCTCCGAACCCCCAAAAATGCGCGACGCAAGTGCAGCAATGAATTCGAGAAAAAGTCGAGATCGTAAAAGATAGCGACTAACGCTTTTTCTCGTAATATCCTCGTTCCAAAAAAGTATTTCGTTCTCGTTGTAAAATATTACTAAGACTAACAAAATCCCGATTCAACTTTCGTTTACAAAACCATAATTGTAATCTCATTACAGTAACGTTGGATGTTGAATACTTTACTACGAGAGTATCTTTTATGAAATTTATGACTTAACAGTCATAAATGTCATAAAAACATGTTTCGAGTCGAACGAAAAAGGACATAAGAACATCTCCGACACAATCTAAATGGATCTCTTAAACGAAAATCTTTGTGATATCCTAATGTATTTACAGAAATTTTGAACGAGTCAACAATTTTACATATATACCAATATTAGGTCCGTTAAACAAAGCAACACATATCATTATACAAAGCAGACTACACTTTGACTTACATAATTGCCTTCTGATTCTAGAAAAATTACGTGAAATTATTTACACTCTTTTGAAGAATGAGTACAGTACTGCAATGGAAAAGTTTATAATCACAGTAAATTGTAATCAAGCGATAAAAACTACAATATCATATCAGTGATAAAAGAATTACATCCAAATTATGCAAACGACCCGTTCACGACCTTGCCGCTGTAGCGACAGCTTAGCGCGGGGGGCTAACGGTATAATCAAATGTTTGGTGCACGCCACAAGACGCCGCTCTTAGCGAAAACGAATCGCTACAGGTTGTGGTGCGCGGTGTGGAGAGCTGTGGGTGTAGGGGGGACGAACTCAGCGCCAAAGCAAAGTACATCACATCAACAGACTTTAACAGTCCACTGCTCTACATAAGCCTCTCCTTAGAAAGGAGGTTGTGGCCTACTATACCACGCTGGCTAGACGGGTATAGGGTTTGTGTCAAGTTTTCCTTCTCTCTGCAGTGCTGTTGTTCTGCGTATTTTTTTCCCTTAGTCGGCTCTTACGACATCTACGGGATGAATAGGGGTGGTGACACTCCCTATTCTTAATCCGTCACCACACGGACCGGAAGCAAAGTACAAAGATAGTATTTTAGACGACTTTGGGGCGTTAATGAATACCGAGGCGTTAATACTGATTTTTTTTAATTCGACGTAAAATGGATATCAATGCAGTCTCAACATAAATATTGTAAACATTTCATTTAAAAACGTCACTAAAAGGTTGTTAGAAGAACTAACACAATATTGGATAAATCCATAATCCATTCTGTGGAACGGGTTCGGTATTTCCGGACCGATACGACCTCCAAACCTTCAAGAAAAGAGCGTACTCCTTCCTAAAAGGCCGGCAACGCGTTTGTGATTCCTGAGTTGCTGACGTTCATGGGTGACGATGGTCACTTTCCATCAGATGACCCGTCTGCTCGTCTCCCTCCCCCTATAATATAAAAAAAAACCCGAAGTTCACCATCCAAATACCGATCATCATTCAGTACGCACACTCCTTCCCTTAAGAATGTTTTGTATTAAAAATATTCTGCTGTCAAAATAGACAGGGGATAATTTAATCCTCGGTCCATCGGTCGTTGCCCATAACCGCTACTGAACCGGTCAGGTACGAGTAGAGGATTCGATTCGACCTAAATATGACCGGGATCCCGGTCATATTAAGGTCCCGAAATTTTCGGGATCAAATTTAATGAATCCCGGGATTTTCGGGATTGATGCTTTTTTTACATAAGCCAATAAAAAGGTGCGTAAAAAGAAACGCACTTGCATTGATTTGACGTTTTGACAGCCATCTTGTTTACACAGCTGATATCATTTGTTTTTGCTAACGACCGGTACTGGATTATGCGTAAAAGTGTGTTAAAAATTCCCGCTTCACGTCGTGTAAGTATTCATATATAAGAAGAAAGTATAATTTTGTTTAACCGCCTTTTGGAGATTTAAAACTAAACTGTAGATAATCCCGAAATCCCGGGATTATAAAAATCGACCGGGATCGAATCCTCTAGGTACGAGTCGAACTCGTGCGCCGACGGTTCCGTACCTACCCAGATTTTACGTAGATTTTCGCGAAAATTTGTAAGTAGCTAAATTTATCTTAATTTTCAACTTTTTTATTTTTTGTAATTATTAATAAATTTCAACGTTTTCATTAGCTTGTTATGTATGTAGCGGAACCTTCGATCGTGATTTTTATTCAATATAGATTATAAAAAAAAACTTCTGATCTTTTTTATATTCAAACGGTATATTTCGGTAAATATTGTTTAAAGATGCTCTCCCACAATTCAAGTTCTTCCCTTTCAGGTGCCGAGTCCAGCTTCAGCGTGGCACCAATATCCATGTACTCTTGCTTCTCCAAGGTGAACGGCTTCCATTCAACTTCGATGTTTTCATCAATAGTTGGAGTAGGATTCCTGGGGACCATTCGTTTGTTTAATTAGTAGGTAACTGTAAATTAATCTTTGCGTCAAAAGGGAGTTTAGTAGAATCAGATATTGCTGGCCTCGCACACAGCTTAGCGATAAAAGGAAGAGGCGGCGAAGAGGGCCCGGGAGCATGATCTCCATTCGGACCTAATTCGCCGCTAACGAACCGGGCGGCGGAGGCGCGCTTACCAGCGACTCATGCCACCACATGGGACGGGTTTTCCATAAACATTTCCATGGCCATAACGGCCAGCCAAGACAGCGGTGACATCCACGTGTGCCGGACGTCGCCTAACTAGAGAATGTACCCGAAGGTGGTGGACGCGCCATTGCGGGCAGGCGCCAGGAGGGGTCCGGATGTTTTAATAACAGCAGTTCCCGGATCCCTCCTATTACAGGCGCAGAGTGGCACAACGTGTGGTTTTAGAACTTGAAAACGGTGCTACTCAATTAGCACCGTTTTCAAGATATACAAGCTCCCAAAGACGGCCATTTAAATGATTGGTTTCAACTCACCCAAATTTTGCAAAGTTTGTCCAAAGCTTGCAAACTTTATTTATCATCCTAAATGTCTCAGAATTCGTATCGACTTTTCCGAAAAAAAGTTTCAACGGGAACAAGTATGCGAGGTCATCCCCGTGACATGTGATATTCTCAGCTTCGTACGGCACGGGGGGATCAATACGGGCAAAAATATTTCTCTCTGAAACGCAGCTAAACTTATAAAAGTACACTTTGTTCGTTAATGAATGAAGTTTGGCGCCAAGAACCATTCCATAATAGAAAATATCGGTACCCATGAACTTCAACAACTCCTCAAATACAATTTCACTATCCTTAACGTAATATTGGCGCATTTTTCTCCCAACTTCCAACTGGTCAGACACCACACAATGTCTTTTAATATCTCCAGGAACAAAGAACTCCGTAAAATATTTTGCATCATTGATCATGCGGTCTTGGGAGTAACGCAATACCATGGCTATAATACCCTCGTCTTTTGTATATCCCATCATTATTTCAACTCCTTCATGAACATTGTTTCGCATTGCATCCATTAGGTCACCGTAAAAGAATCTTTCTTGTCCAAAGTCTTTTTCATTGACTACTGTAAAAGGCAGTTCAGTGGGTTTCTGGGCTCCCCATATCTTTAAATCAACGCCAAAGAATGATTCGACAGGTTGTTTCATAAAAAAGTCGTAAAGAGTTTTATCATCCTCTGAGAAACAACCTAATTTTTTGGCAAGTAAAAGAGCTTTCTCACGTGCTTCGAATTCTGCTATTATATAGAGTGTAGCTAGTCCACTCTGGACAATAGCCCTACGAAACAGACCTTTACTCATTGGTGATATTAAAAGGCAGGAGACGGCAATACCTCCAGCACTTTCTCCAAATATGGTGACGTTATCAGGATCTCCGCCAAAATTTTGAATGTTTTTCTTCACCCACTTAATGGCTGCCACCATATCTTTCATACCTGCGTTACCGGGTATTTCTGGAGTGTGGAGACAGAGAAAACCAGGTGCTTGAAGTCTATAATTTATCGTGACTAGAATAACACCATCTCTTACTAGAAATTCTGGGCCGTAAAAATCGTCGTTGCCACTTCCCGTTAAGAATCCACCTCCGTGTATAAAGAACATGACTGGGAGAAGACTTTTTGGGTTTATTTCTGGTGTGTAGACGTTCAGATATAGGCAGTCTTCGCCCATATTTTGTGGCTGATGGTCAGAACCAAAGAAGTTAGGCTGGTAGGATGCTGGTCCGAATTTGGTAGCATCCCTGATGCCAGTCCACGGTTGTGGTGGCTGCGGTGACTGTGAAGATAAATTAATGTTTTTATTTTCAATCATTTATGAGAACGCACTTTAAATTAGTGGGATGCAGAGTTAGATAATAAAAAGACGTGCAAAATGACTATTTTTTACACCTTAATTCTTATATATAGGCTTCAGATCTACAAATTTCTTTCGGCAGAAGTTTTATTTTTTTTACTAGGAGTCTACATCCCGTGGGTGTCGTAAGAGCCCACTAAGGGAGCAAATTGTACAGGACAACTGCATTGCAACGAGAAGGAAAACTTGACACAAACCCTATACCAAAAAGCCTGGTCAACGTGGTATAGTATAGTACGCCAAAACCTCCTTTCTAAGAAGAGGCATAGAGAAGTTGCTCGGATCAGCTAGTAGTTATGACAACATATTATCAAAACTGGTTACCTTAAACCTCAGATCTCCAACCGGCGGTTGAGCATACGGGATACCTTTGAAACTGTAGAAACTCCCTCCGTACTCATTCTTTACTTCCTCCCCTTCCAATATACCCTCAGTCACTTGTATTTGCACCATATTTTAATCATGAACTGTAAATTAAAAAAAAATTGTTAAAAAAAAACTATTTTTTTTTTAAATTAGTGTATTGTCATCGGTCCTCGATGAAACTACGTAGTGTGAACGAATTCTGACCGTTTAAAGTCAGTCAAGACAAGGAGAAGGTTACAAACATACAAACAAACATACAAGTGTAATAAAAAATTGTTTAAAAAAACTAAAAAACACGCTTTTATAGAAAAATAAACTAAAAAATTGAAAATAAATTTTAATAAATTTGAAAAAAAAGCGTTTGGTGCCTGTTGTCAATAGTAAAAAGCACCCCACGCTTTTTTCATTTTCTTTCTTCTTCATTTTCTTTTTTTTCACATTTCTATTCTTTTCTTTGGTTTTCTATAAAAGCGTGTTTTTCAGTTTTTTTAAACTATTTTTTTTTTTAATTTTTTTTTAAATTAGTTTATTGTCATCGGTCCTCGATATATCTACAAAGTTTGAACGAATTCTGACCGTTCAAAGTCAGTCAAAATCACGCCCAAAGGAGTCGGTTACAAACATACAAACAAACATACAGGTGAAGCTAATAAAAAGCGTGTAAAAAGAGGAACTGTGTTTATATTAGAGTCTGGAATCTGTACCTATATTTTGGTTTTAGGGTATATCTAAAGGCATGTCTATCACATAAAGTCCTGGTCTTGTATCAGGTCAGAGACTAGCAATGACGCACGTAAATAAAAAATCTTCCGACACTTTGCAATGAATTTTTCAAAACGATGTTGTGATGATTATATAATAGGTATTACATTTATTTTATTGATATAGTGGCGTTAACGAGCAGACGGGTACATGATGGTAAGTAAAAACCGCCGCCTGCAACACCTACAACTTAAGAGATACGTGCGCCCTTTAGAGTCTAGTCCAGTCAAGAGGAGGCGAAGTTTGGGCTCCGGTTTTTTTTAAAGAATAAAGGGCAAACGAACAGGCGAGTCACCTGATGGAAAGCGACTACCACCGCCCATGAACGCTTGTAACTCAGGAGTCACAAGCGCGTTGCCAGCCTTTGAGGAAGGAGTACGCTTTTTTTAACCGACATCAACTCTCTTCTTGGTCGGAAGGTCGTATCGGTCCGGAAAAACCGCAGACGATAACCCTTTCCACAGATTGGTAGTACGAGACAAAAAGTGTCTCGAAAGCGCACAGTGGTGGATTGCCAATTATCCAAGTGGTGGGGATGAAAATTTTGCCGTGTGGAACAGTAGCGGAAACTTGGGACCGGTATTCATCATCATCATCATCACCATCATCAACAGCCCTTAATAGTCCACTGCTGGACATAGGCCTCCCTTAGAAAGGAGGTTTTGGCCTACTATACCACGCTGGCCAGACGGGTTGGTGGTATTTAATACGGGTGGTATTAGTCCGAACAATTCCTCGGAGCACTCTCCATGATACATCCGATAGAGAATGCAGATCGAAGCTACATTTCTACACAACGCCAAGAGATCGAGCCGATCGGAGATCTTTTGGCTATCGACGATTCGAGTCGCTCTTATTTGGATGCGGTCCAGAGGCAGAAGCTGGTACTTCACACACTTGATGAGAAGTAAAGAAAAATTCAATTAACACTACGATGAAAATTTGTCTTTGATTTTACTATCACTACAGTGATATATTAACAAACATACCAATCTATCTTGACTACTCTTGAGTCACGAGTCCTTGTGTGGAGACCGCGTCTCGGCAAACGTAGTGTAGGACGTCCACAGGCCAGGTGGAGTGACGATTTGCTCAAGATGGCTGGCAGGAGCTGGATGCGAGAAGCCCAAAATCGATCTAAGTGACGTGCATTTGAAGAGGCCTATGTCCAGCAGTGGACTGCGATAGTCTGATCATGATGATCCATCTATCTAAATTGTTTTTGTTTAAGACAACTCCCGCTTTAGGAATATATCCTGTGTCGCGGGGGACTTTACAAATATACATGAAACGGACACAAAGAATACCCAGACTCAGAACAACAATTTGTGGATCACGGGGTTGTCCGATGTGGGATTTGAACAGCGCGCGGCGCAGTAGGAATCGGCGTGGCGACCGCTTAAACCAGAGTTGAGAGCTGCAGAGTTGACTCGTCTGCTGATCTAGCTATTCTGACTGTAGACCTACAGTACAACGTACAACTAGTACTAACAGTATTTTATAATAAAACACTAAATACACTTACATATTTGCCTCCGTATTTATTAAGCAAATAATGTTAAATTAATAGCACGATACAGTACACAGAAGGCATACAGTAATGATTCCTTTATAAATATCTTTAATCGCTTTAATTAGCACCTAACTGATAAAAACTTGAAAATCATGGCGATAAATACATTGTATCATGATTTTACAAAGATAATAAAAATATTAAATAACGATTTGTGTGGTGACGGATTAAGAATACGGATTGTCACCATATCGTTTCATTCTGTGGGTGTCGTAAGACTAAGAGAGGAAACTAAGCAGGACAACAGCACTGTAAAGAGAAGGAAAACTTGACACAAACACTTTTTTTTTTTTTTAAGTGTGGAAATCCCCTCGGGCCGTCACCCCGCCGGGGCTCTCGTTCGGCGGGGCGGTGTGTCGGACTCGAACCGACTAACACCACACGGTGTGCCCTCTTTGCGCTTCCAGTTTAGGAGGGGTCCAGGTAGTTATCGCCTTCTGGACCCCTCCCAGCGCCGGCCCGCTCCTGTTGCGGGCTCCGTCTCAAAGTTTCCTCTCTTTAGGCGGCGTCCGGCCCACGCGGACGCCGCTCCCTCGCAGCTGGCCAACTAATGCGGGTGGAGGGAGAACCCATCCCGTCCACCCGCGGCCACACTCAGGGCGGCATGAGGCGCAGGTAAGCGCGCCTCCGCCGCCCGGTTCGCCGGCGGCGGATCAGGTCCGAGTGGAGGTCGTCCTCCCGGGCCTTCTCCGCCGCCTCCTTCTGCGAGATTACCTCCTCGCAGAAGGTTGCGACCGCGGTAAAAAAACCGTCGCTACCGGCCATGGAGCGAATTACGGCCGGTAGCGAGAGATCTGCTCCGATGACTGCAGTGAGGGCCCGGCGCTGCGTCGCCCATGCGGGGCAAACCGCCAGCGTGTGCTGGGCCGAATCCTCACTGCAGTCGCAGTGGTGGCAGGCGGGACTCGATTCCCTCCTAGCGACCGAGTACAGGTACTTTCCGAAGCAACCGTGCCCGGAAAGCACCTGCGTCAGCCGGAAGGAAAGGGTCCCGTGCTGCCGCCCTGCCCACTCGGCGATGACCGGCTGGAGAGCCTCCACGGCGGCGAAGCCAGCGCGTGGAGTCTCCAGCCGGAACGACCATCTGACCATGGTGGCTCGGCGAGCGGCTTCGCGCCACTCGCGCACGTCTTCGGGCGGAGGGCGAAATCCGCTCTCCGCCCGGAAGTCAGCCACTCGCCGATAAACTTCTGCGAGCACTTCCGCCTCCAAATCCCACGGGGGTGTTCCGGCCAAGGCGCAAGCCGCCTCGGTGGACACCGTGCGGTATCCGCGTATTGCTCTGACCGCCAATATCCTCTGGGGGCGCCAGAGGCGCGCCCTATTCGGGGCGGTCAGAGCCGCCACCCACACCGGTGCACCATAAAGCGCCATAGACCGGACAACCTCCGCATACAGCCGCCTCGTTGGAACACTGGCCCCGCCCAAATTGGGCAAAAGTCGCCCTAGGGCGGAGGCAGTGTCCACCAGCTTCGGACCAAGCTGTCGGAAGTGCTCGTCGAAGAGCCACCTATCGTCTAGGACCAGACCCAGGTACCTCATCTGGGCCCGGACCGGTACGAGGACCGAGCCGACCTCGATTGAGGCGCCGGCGGGTGGACCACGACGGGGCCCATGAAATAATAGGGCCTCCGTCTTATCCAGGGCCACCCGCAAACCCAACGCCTCAATGCGCCCGACCACCAGGGAAACTCCCGTGGCGGCCAGGCGCGCCGCCTCCTGGAAGTTAGCCCCCCGGGCCGTGAGTAAGGTGTCATCCGCGTAGCAGATTACACCCAGCCCGGGGGGGAGACGCCCTCGTAGGGCCCAGTCGTATCCAATGTTCCACAGGAGAGGTCCTAGGACAGACCCCTGCGGAACACCGCACGACATGGCCCTGCGTCTCAAGACGCCATCTCGGTCCTCGTACATGACGGTTCGCTCCTCAAGATAGTCTGCCACTAGCCGCCTCAGGTACTCTGGCACTCCGTGGTAGCGGAGCGCTTCCCTGTTGCAGATGAATGGCAGACTATTGAAGGCGTTGGCGATGTGGCCAGCGTGGTATAGTAGGCCAAAACCTCCTTTCTAAGGAGAGGCCTATGTCCAGCAGTGGACTAGTAAAGGTGTTGATGATTCAACTTCATGTAGTATGGTAATCACATTTCAATAAAACAACTTTTTATTTTAAAAAGTCTCTTTATTTATATATAAACTTAAAAAATAATATGAACAAGATATGTAAAATTGTATATTTAACAGTATAAGGCTCAAAATTACATCATATAGTATAACTTGGACTGCCATTAATTTTACACTTCTGTACAGGTCAATATATACTGGACACTTATAGTGTTATGCAGTCGTTTTTACGTAATATTTATGTCACATGTGCAGGGCCGGATTAGCCATGTCCAGGCCCTTAGGCAATGCAATCCTCGGGGCCCCTTTTTAAAAATATCAGATCTTTGTAATTCGTTGAGGGGTTGTGTTTGAGTATCAGCATCAGCAGAATCACCTGACTAATATGTAACTCCTTAGAAACTAAGAACAAAAGCGGGGCCCCTAGGCAGTTGCCTTCTCTGTCTAATGGTTAATCCGAGCCCTGCACATATTGTTTAAAAATGTTAGCTCTGTGTGGTCTCTTCTACATATAAACATTAAGTATTCTAAATTAATGTTGCCTACATACAACGATAGTATTGGCAACCTATCGAGAGACAATCGATTGTCTTTCGATAGGTTGTTTCTCGATAGGTTGCCAATACTATCGAGA